AAAAATACAAAAATTAGCCGGGTGTGGTGGTGCTCGCCTGTAGTCTCAGCTACTCGGGAGGCTGAGGCAGGAGAATCGCTTGAACCTGGGAGGAGAGGGTTGCAGTGAGCTGAGATTGTGCCACTGCACTCCAGCCTGATTGGCAGACCGAGACTCTATCTCAAAAAAAGGAATGAAACTCAGTACCTACTCTTAAGGAATTTACACTACAGTGGGAAAATGAGACATATATCCAAGATAACTACAACATAAGCTAAAAGTAGTAAATGATGAACAGTCCAGATAAGAAAATTGAGATGAATGAAGACGTTATCTCTAAAGTGGCAGCAGAAAGGCTTCATGGAGGAAATAACACATGACCTGGAATTTAATACCTATACATCCAGACTAATATCAGACTATAGATTCATTGATACTATATCTAATGTAATACCTAGGAACATTATTCTGCAATGTATTGAATTTTCTAGAACTGCTTTTTCTTGAGTAACTGTAGCCATTTGTTTTTTTTTTCTTTCTCCTGCGTAACAGTGTATAAATCTCTACCTGTATTTCTCTTATTGATTATTCCATTGAGCATGACTTGAAATAAGCTTAAAGACCATCAAAAAAAAATTTTTTTTGAGACAGGGTGTCACTTTGTCACCCAGGCTGATGTGCTGTGGCGTAATCTCTGCTCACTGCAGTCTTGACCTCCTGGGTTCAAGTGATTCTCCCACCTCAGCCTCCTTAGTAGCTGGGACCACAGGCACGTGCCACCACACCTGACTAATTTTTGTATTTTTTGTGGTCACTGGTTTTCACCATGTTGCCCAGGCTGGTCTCCTAACTCTTGGGCTCAAGGGACCCGCCTGCCTCGGCCTCCCAAAGTATTAGGATTACAGGCATTAACCACCACGTCCAGACAGTTTTTCAAATTCTTTTTTTTTTTTCTTTTTTTTTTTTCAGACAAAGTCTTGCTCTGTAGCCCAGGCTGGAGTGCAGTGGCACGATATCTTAGCTCACTGTAACCTCCGCCTCCCGGCTTCAAGTGATCCTCCTGCCTCAGCTTCCTGAGTAGCTCAGACTACAGGTGCGTGCCACCATGCCCAGCTAATTTATATATTTTGAGTAGAGATGGGGTTTCACAACATGTTGGCCTGGATGGTCTCAGTCTCCTGACCTTGTGAGCCACCCGTCTCAGCCTCCCAAAGTGCTAGGATTACAGTCATGAGCCACTGTGCCCGGCTCAGTTTTTCAAATTCTTATTGCAGAAGTTAAAAAGGGAAGAAAAAGAAGTTTTTCAGATTCTTAAAAGCAGAATACTTTTTCTCAAAGGAAATTGTAGATGTCTCCCCAATACAGAAAATAGAGCGGTTCTGCCCTAGTTGAAATTGGGGCAGGAAGCCATGGCCCTGATCATTTAGTCTTAAGGTGCCTCTGCAGAATAATCTGAAAATCACTACCCATTCCCATTCAATGTTTACTTACCTGCAAAATCATCAACCTGCCCATGTTTGAGCACCTGTGTTGATAGACATTATAATATATGCAAAAGTAAGTAATATATACACATAGGTGAATTAAGTTGTTATTATGGACTATAGGTCATCTGTACTGAAATCAAAAGACCCAAAATTGCTTAGTTCTCCCATTTATTACCCATCTTTCCGACTTTTTTTGAGTCTTATTTCCCATACTTCAAAAGATGGAAATAAAACATCAGAAAAACTCAAAATGAGGGATATTTTCCAAAATAACTGGCCAGTAATCATCAAAAATGCCAACATCATGAAGGAGAAGAAAAATGGCCAGGCAAGGTGGCTCACACCTGTAATCCCAGCACTTTGGGAGGCTGAGGCAGGCGGATGTTGGCCAGGCTAGTCTGAGGTCAGTTGTTCAAGACCAGCCTGGCTAACATGGCGAAACCCCTTCTCTACTAAAAATACAAAAAGTAGCAGGGCATGGTGGTGCATGCCTGTAATCCCAGCTACTTGGGAGGCTGAGGCAGGAGTTCAAGACTAGCCTGGCCAATGTATCGAAATCCTGTCTCTACGAAAAATACAAAAATTAGCCTGGCATGGTGGTGGGCATCTGTAGTCCCAGCTACTCAGGAGGCTGAGGCAGGCGAATTGCTCGAACCCAAGAGGCAGAGGTTGCAGTGAGCCAAGATCTCACCACTGCATTCCAGCCTGGGCGACAGAGCGAGACTCTGTCTCAAAAAAAAAAAGAAGGAAAACTCGAGGAACTCTAGCAGACTGAAGACTAAAGAGTCATGACAACTGAATGCAACCTAGACTTGAAACTTGTTTTTCTATTGGAACAATGATCAGAATTTGAATAATGTATGTAAATTAGCTAATGGTGTTATATTAATGTTAATTCCCGATTTTGAAAATAATGTGATGGTTATGTAAAAGATTATATTTGGCGGGCGCGGTGGCTCACGCCTGTAATCCCAGCACTTTGGGAGGCCGAGGTGGGTGGATCACGAGGTCAAGAGATCGAGACCATCCTGGTCAACATGGTGAAACCCNGTCTCTACTAAAAATACAAAAAATTAGCTGGGCATGGTGGCGCGTGCCTGTAATCCCAGCTACTCAGAAGGCTGAGGCAGGAGAATTGCCTGAACCCAGGAGGCGGAGGTTGCGGTGAGCCGAGATCGCGCCATTGCACTCCAGCCTGGGTAACAAAAGTTACCGTCTCAAAAAAAAAAAAGATTATGTTTGTTATTAGAAAACACACATCATGGTAAAAAGAAATTTGAAGAGAAAATAATGAAAATATACATTGGTATATTTAGGAGTAAACGACAACAACTTTCAAACAGGCCAGGAAAAAAACTTTTTTTTTTTTTTTTCATTTATAAAAACTGGCAGATTTATTCCGCAGGGGCCATTTTCAAGAAGCTAAAGGTGAAGGTGGGAAAGGAGAAGTTCCCTCCCCTTTTCCTTTGTGCCTCATCTTATTTTCTCCAAGGGGTAAAAAAATGGCCTGGACCCCAAAACCTACCCAAATAAAAAATCGAAAAACTGAGGTTCCAAGACGTTACAGCATCTTAATTCCTCATAGAAAAGGGGGAGGAGCCAGAGGGAAGAGGAGTCCCTGGGGTGGGGGGAGGCACCCCTAGCCTGGTGAGACATCCCCTCCCCTTAAATAGCTGCCCCAAATGGGGCAAGGCTGGGGCCAAAGCATTTAAAAACTCCCACACCCCATTTTATCAAAACCAAAGAGGAAAAAAAAATTTCCCTTTTCCCCCAAAACCCAAAAATATATATTTTTTTTCTTAAAAAAACAAAACTTTGAAGGCAACAAGCGTTAAAGTGAATCTAGAACAAGGGAATGTGAAATTCCCTCATTCCTCCCCCTTCCTGTGGGGTTCATTGGTGCATCCCCAGCAGAGGGACGGGCCCCAAGGGGATGGCAGAGGGGAAGGACCAAAGGAAGAAAAGGGCGGGGCCTCCCCAGCCAATCAGCAGCCAGTGAGGGTGTGGGCAGGGCCGCGAGGGAAGCCACGCCCCCCTGGAGGTTCCCCAGTGGTATGAGGAGTGGGAACAATGCATTGCTGTGTAGTCTTCAGCCAATTCCAAATCAAGTAGAGGCCCGGAAAGCAGGGTGACAGGTGGGGTGTGCGGAAAGGAGAAGCGGGTCTTCTGGGTCCCTGTAGTCAGGGAGAATCACACTTCCTCAGCTCCTGGACAAAGGCTTCAATGATTTCCTCTTTCACTTTCTGCAATTCCTTCTTCACCTCTTCCAGAAGCTCCTGTTTCACCCTCTCTAGGTCTGAGTCATCGCTGGAGCTGGGCGTGCAGGGGTGGGTCTCAGAAGTGGTCACCGAAGAAGACGACTTCATCCTTGGCAAGGTTGTGCTGTTCTTTTGCCAGGCTCTCCGCACAGATTCACTCTGGGCCGGGACTCTGGCCTCTGGCTCCTCATTGGCAGATTCATCCTTGGGGTTTTTCTCCCCAACCTGTGTGGCTTTCCTTCTCCAGGACAGCACGGCGTTCATCTCTTCCATAAGCCCCCCCACCTCCGCTTCGATCACTCTCAGTTTTGGGGGCCACGGGCCCCCCCTGAGGATTCCGCCTCTTTGCTGACTTTCCTGAGTTTGGCTCCAGCAATAGCTGCGGCCAGGCCTGGGGCCCTGTGCTGCCGGGAGAGGGGATGCAGGGGCTGGTCCTCCCCCGGCTCCGTGTGCTGCAGCTGGGACTCCCGAGGGGGGCAAACCTGGGGGTGGGGGAGGACATGGAGGAGGGGAAGGTCCTGGTGGTGGGGGTGGACCCCCAGCAGAGGGAGTAGGTGGGCCTCCTGCATTGGAGACACGGCGCTTTAGGTGCTCCGACGGGCAGGGCTGCTGCCTTTTCTGCTGCTCCACCTCCTCCAGGGAGGGACCATTGGGGACCTACCAGGCAGGAGGTGCTGGGGGTGGAGGGGGCCCACCTCCTTCCAACGCCTCCAGGGCACTGGCCATGCCCTCGGCAAACTGGGCGGCATCCTCCTTGCTGCTGAAGTTGAGGCCCCAGACCTGCGGGCATCGCGCCACTGATGGAAATTGGCGGTGGCTTGATTATACTTGACGCCCCGGACAATGGCACAGTTGATGACCACCTGCTGGTTGGGCTGCATCTTCTGGTCCACCAAGCGGAAGGAATTGGCCGTGGGGTTGTGGTAGATCTGGAGGCGGCCGCAGGCCTGGGGACCCATGCCAGCACGGACCCATTGATTGTTGCAGTCATCATAAACCATCACAGTGGCCGGGCTGGAACAGATGACCGACTCATGGCTGCTAGGCGGGCAGGCGGTGCGCCCACGGGCTGGCTGCTCCCAGGGCGCCCCTGGCCGGAGGTTCAGGGGTTCAGGTCTGGCTCCAGGCTCGGCTCAAGCTCCCTCCAAGCTCCCCCAGAGTCCCGCCCCATAAAGTCCGGCTTCCTGGGCAGAATGTGGACCGGGCCTGGACGGGTCTCGGGGCACCACTTCCCTCAGGCGGTCTGATGAGAAGTCTCTGCGGCAGAAAGCGGGTGCGGCGTCCCCTCCCCAGCGCGGTCCCCGTGCCTGAGGCGGCTGCACTGTTACTCTTACTACTGTACTTCCTTACATTTCGTTCCAAATGCCAGGAAAAAAATTTGAAAGAGAGGGAAAGGCCGCGGGGGCGCTGCCAAGCGGCAGCTTGAGGGCGGGGTGCTGGGGGAGGGTAACGGAGCGGGCGCCGCTCCTTGTTGGGTCTGAAGGGCTGCTGCAGGCGCCCACAGAGCGGGCGGGCGTGCTGGGCCGTAGGCAGCAGCCTGGGGTCTGCCTCTCTGCGAGCGGCCCCTGGGCGGCTGTGGCAGCGCCATGAGCGCGGGCACCCCTTACATCGGCAGCAAGATCAGCCTCATCTCCAAGGTAGAGATCCGCTATGAGGGCATCCTCTACACCGACACCGGAAACTCCACGGTAGCCCTCGCCAAAGTTCGATCCTTTGGTACAGAAGACAGACCAACAGATTGTCCAATACCACCTCGAGATGAAGTCTTTGAATACGTTAGATTCCGTGGGAGTGACCTTAAAGACCTCACTGTTTGTGAGCCACCAAAACCGCAATGTTCTTTGCCTCGAGACCCAGCTATCGTTCAGTCCTTACTAGGCTCATCGACTTCTTCATTCCAGTCCATGGGTTCCTATGGGTCTTTCGCCAGGATGCACACATACAGTCAGTTCAGTCCAAGTTCCTTAGCTGGGCAGCAGTTTGGTGCTGTTGTTGCTGGAAGCTCTCTGACATCCTTTGGAACAGAAACATCAAACAGCGGTACCTTACCCCAAAGTAGTGTGGTTGGTTCTGCCTTTACACAGGATACAAGATCCCTAAAAACACAGTTATCTCAGGGTCGTTCAAGCCCTCAGTTAGACCCTTTCAGAAAAAGCCCAACCATGGAACAAGCAGTGCAGACCGCCTCGGCCCACTTACCTGCTCTAGCACCTGCTGGGAGAAGGAGTCCTGTATCAACCAGGCCTTTGCCATCTACCAGCCAAAAAGCAGTAGAGATCAGGAGCACTGGAGAGCTGAAGTACATAAAGTTTCAAGGCCAGAAAATGAGCAACTCAAATGATAACAAGAAACAAGTAGCTCCAGATGCTCCTTCAGCTCCAAGGAGAGGGCGTAGGGGGTCATCCGGGTGGCAGCGGAAGATTTGGTATTCGTGGAGATGGGCCAATGAAATTTGAGAAAGACTTTGACTTTGAAAGTGCAAATGCACAATTCAACAAGGAAGAGATTGACAGAGAGTTTCATAATAAGCTTAAATTAAAAGAAGACAAACTTGAGAAACAGGAGAAGCCTATAAATGGTGAAGATAAAGGAGACTCAGGAGTTGATACTCAAAACAGTGAAGGAAATACTGATGAAGAAGATCCACTTGGACCTAATTGCTATTGACAAAACTAAATACTTCTTTGATAATATTTCTTGTGATGACAATAGAGAATGGAGACCAACCTGGGCTGAAGAAAGAAGATTAAATGCTGAAACATTTGGAATCCCACTTCGTCCAAACTGTGGTCATGGGGGATACAGAGGCAGAGGAGGTCTTGGTTTCCGTGGTGGCAGAGGGCGTGGTGGTGGTGGCAGAGGTGGTACCTTCACTGCCCCTTGAGGATTTCGTGGTGGATTCAGAAGAGGTCGTGGGGGCGGGGAGTTTGCAGATTTTGAATATAGGAAAGACAACAAAGTTGCTGCATAGTCTACAAACAAATCTCTGAAAATAGGTGAATTTCTAGCTCTTCATGGTCCTGAAAATTGATTTCAGTGTTTGCGAAGAATGAAGAAGTGAATTCGCTGTATATTTGTCACCAGCACTGGGTTTTAGTTTTTTGTTTGTTTTTCCGATTTATTTCAAAGATAAAATGCAGTTACTTTTGGGGGTGGAAGGCTTATCTTACAACATGAACATTAAATATATTTGGAATAGCCAAAGCTTAAGTAATTTCTTATGCATAGTTAAACTAAAGCAGTACTTCAGTGGAACTTACAAGTATTTTTTCATCACCGAAAGATTTTTTTTATCACTAAATTGTATTTGGCAATTGCAAGTTGTCTGCAGATAGGGCTGTGATACTGTGTTTTGAGCCACAGAAGGTTGTGTATGTGTGTGTGTGTGTGTGTGTATGTGTGCCTGTGTGTGTCTTTTTCCTCCTTTCTTTTGGGGAATCCTGTAATATGAGGTACTTATTTTGTCAGTTAATTAGGGTGCTGGATGGAAGAGAATTTTGTCAGTCAACTATGTACACACAGTAAATACTGTTTCGTAGGCAAAGGTAAGTTTTTTATATAGTTGTAAAATTCCATTATATTCCATTGCCAAGTAAACATTAAGAACTTTGTATAGCTGTATAAAAACAACTAATTTTTTAATTTTTTAAAGAATAAACCTTTTAAAGTCAGCCAAAAAAAAA